GGATTTCCCTACAAAATATCCATAAGTGGTCAATGAATGAGGCTAATGTTGCAGTATGTGAATATTTAATAGGATAATTTAAAATACATAATTATCAGTGCTCCAGATGTCAATATATATTGTGGCAGAAGCATGTCCACATTGCTAAAAGTCTAAAACCAGAATAAGAAAGTATGCCAAGTAGAATTAGCACATCAATACTTAAAGAACATCTCATCATAAAGGAAACATATAAACTCCACTCGAGCACCAATCCTATAAATTCAATGAACACAGATGCCTTTCAGGAAAGTAAGCCAGAGCCAGTCCAATTCTCAAAACCATTGGGAGAGAGAACATTTTGAAAAGAAGGAAAGCAAGCTGCCATCCAAATGCCATTACTGATAAAATCAAACTATGTTAATGATAAAACACCTACGAGGAAAAAAGCAACTTGTCTGTGATTCTTATCAGAAGCAAGCTGTGCTGGTGTAAGGCCTGTATTATCAGCCACCATCAGATCTTCCTTCTTGCCAGCCTGTACTAACACAGTACAGGCCTCCAAGTTGCCCCTGATAGCAGCCCAATGAAGAGGAGTGCAACCTGAATAAATTATGGAAAATTAAAACTAGAATGATGCTTTGAAAATCAAAGATCAATTAATAATTTATATCAGTGCACAAGTAAATGGAGGAGAAAAAAAGGAGTTCAGGATAGAGCATTAGAACACACCCTCTTTATCTTGACGTCCCCTGTGTGCATCAAGAAATAACAGAAGTCGTATACAATCGCCAAAACCTTTATAAGCAGCCCTAAAATTCAAGTTAGAAGGAAAAACCAATTAAAGAACTTCAAATGTGAGCAATTATATAAACATTTCACTTAAGCAGAACCATTCAAAATTTCAGTGTGAAGGGAAAATAGGCATGTCACTTTGTGTATTAAAAAATCATCAATTGCAGATGGAAAAAAAATTAAAAGGAAAATCTTAATGTAACTTTGTACAATATTATCATTAAAAAAAAATAAAATAAAGGAGAGCAAATTAGACAAAGACATGACCAATATATTATGGAGATAGTTCCAAGAATAAATATAATGAACATGGCTACAGAAGTAACATAGTTACATAAATGAAGTAGTCCATGTGCCACTCAACCTACTAATTCAAAAATTATCCTTCATGGTGGGTAGTATTACATGGATAATGCCAAGAGAAACTATGCAATGTTCATAACTGTTGGAGATCCATTTGACTAGTGATATAGCCAAACTAGAGAATATAAGCACGAGAAAACTATCACCTTATAAGTCAGTTTTGCAGAGTTGAGTTAAACTCAAATTCACGTTCTAAGATAGTATTAGAATCTATCCTAGTGATTATTGATGCTATCAAACTATCTAAAGATGTCTAGTCTCGCAAACTTCACGTTGAAAATGTCTAATTCTAGGCATGAGGAAAGAGTGTTGGAGAATATAAGTGAGGGAGAGCCTTACCTTACAGGTCGGTTTTGTAGAGTTAAGTTAAGCCTAAATCTATATTTCTAAGAATAACAAACAATTTTGTAATAAAAAATTAATTAAGACCCATTAGACTTAAAAAAGAGTTTCCAACTTTTTATTTTCAAAATGGACTAACTGGGACCAGCTTCCTAGATAGTGTTTTCACTAAAACTCTAGCAAATACATTTTTAGGTTCGTGTTCTGCTTTTAAAGAACAAACCAACAGCACTTGCAGTTTGCCTTAGGAAAAATAAAAAATAAAAAATAAAAAAAGGCATCACAAACCAGCAACATAATGCCAAAGGACACAAACTCAAGAAAGACTTGTCGGAGCAATTCACAAAATGAGAGCTTGACTGCAGAGCAGCGTGCAACAAATAGAAAAGAGAAAACATCCATTTCAATAGAAAGAAAGGTTGAGCAGCAACAAATTTTTATTACCAATGCAAGGGGCTTCTTCCATCGTTATCAGGAACATCAGGATCAGCATTCCATTTTGAAACAACATGGTAAAGGAAAGCTGTCTGACCATATTGTGCAGCAACATGCGTTGTCTGCATCCAAGTTAATCATAAATACTAAAATCAACATTTACAGCTGAACACTCACACTTGAAGTAAAAGCAGAATCCAAAACTACCAATTTGGCAGATATAACCAAAAGCAGGTACAAGAGCTACATAACATACTTCAAATGCCCAACACAAACAATCTCAAAAGGGAAAAAGAATCAAATGAAACTAACCTGATATCCATTCATATCCGCAGCACTGACTCGAGCACCCTCCTGTAGTAAAAGCTCGGCAGCCTGGATAGCACCCCGAACCGCACTCCAATGTAACGCCGTCTGGCCAGTATGATCCGTTGCATTTACATCACCACCATGCTGCGAACCATTGAATTTCCCACAACAAATCAACAAAAAGAAAGTCGAATTCCACACTTAAATTCCAACAGCACATTGAATTTTCCATTTCGATGAGAGAAACATGAGGCGATCAAAAAAAGCAAAGTAAGCAAACGCAATTCAACAAACCGATCAAAGAACCTCGATGATGTACTGAGCAGCGGCAGTGCGATTGTTGAGTGCGGCCCACTGAAGCGCGTAGTATCCCAAGCCATCGGGTTCCGTGACGGGGCATCCCTCTTCCTCCACCAATCTCTGCAGCTTCTCCAAATCCCCGTACGCGGCGGCCGTGTAGACGTCGTTGCGGAGGCTCTCCTCCGGCAGCGCATCGGGCGAGGGCGGCGATTGCGATTGCGACTGCGACTGCGACTGCGACGGCACGAGCTCCTCGACGACCTCGATCTCGGATGACATAGATCCGGTTGATTCCTGGCAGGAGATTGGGAACCTAATCGGGGAATGGAGAGAGAGAGGGAGAGGGAGATTGGTTAATTTCTAGGGTTTTTCTGCGAATATGAGAGAGAGGGTTTGGGTCATCGCCGTCCCTGTTGACCCTCTCAGAACAGGACAATGCCAAACGAAGGAATCAGAGACAGATTAAGAGATTAACAATAACAATAACAATAACTATGGCCTATGGGTCCGTTACGCCACGCCACTTGGTGTCACTCCGTTCTTTTCATATTCCCTCAAAATATCCACTCTATTTCAGAACCAACGAGATAGAGAGATAATTACTCTCTTCTCTTCTCTGTGTCTCCACATTTAAATTTAACCTTATTTATTCTCTCTCATCTTTTCAATTTTTAACTTAAATATTTCACATTAATAATATAGTAAATTATTCTTTTAATTATTTTAAAACTAAGAAAAAGCATTGCCTCCTTCTCGTTGTTAAGCTTAATTTAATTACAATTAGCTTTTTAATCAAAATTTCCAACTTATTAGTAGATTTATTAAGAGTTTTATTTCGTTGATTTTGCTACTTTGGATTATCCGACGAGCCGTCTTTTCCATGATTTCATTTGTTATAGCCTGTCAATTTGTAATCAACATTTGTTTAAAAATAAAAATAAAAAAAAGGGTCTTTATATTCGTATTATATACAAGCAGTGTTAGTAAGTATGAGAATGGAAGAAAATTGATTGGATTTTGCCTTCCTTGCCTCGAGTGAGGGGGTGAATTGGGGATTTAATTTAAAAGGTGAGAATAAATATTGTACCTAGTTTCATCCCAATGAAGATTTAATAATAGATAATCAGAAACCGCCTCGTTCTTTCTTTTTTCTTTAAATCAACTGACTTATATAAATAAATAATTCACATATTAAATACATAAAAATAAACACCAATAACTTCAAAAGTAATATATTAAATTTAAGAAAATTATCAGAAATTTTAATTTTAATTTTATTACTTAATTACTGTCATAATTTAAGTTATATAAATATTATAATAATTACCTTGTATTTTCAATAAGTATATGGAAAAATAATGAAGAAAGTGTGTTGGATTGATATTTCAAAAAATTATTATAGAATAATTTTTTCTTTATGAATTTTTAAAAAAGTTTACAAATGAAATAACTTAAAAAAAAACTTTATAATAAAGATTTTATGATTGAGATTTTAATAGATTTATATCATAATAATTTATAAGATTTAAAAAGATTTGATTGACTTACAAGATTTCAAAAGAAAATATTAATTTATAAAAAGCATCCAATGTTAAAATAATTAATGAAAGATATAAAACAAATGATAAATTTTAAATAAAGAAAATAAAATTAATATAATTTTTTAATAGATAATTGATTAAACATTTTTTCCTCCTAAGTAATAGCTCTCCATACATTGAGACATTTTTATTAATGTTATTGAGTTTAAACAATATGTTCACAATTATTATCTTCATTGATTGATAACATTGAGCATGAAGATGTATTTATTGGTTCAATGAAAAATTTATCATAACAACATATTTTACCCAAAAAAAAGTGCGTAATTACATGTGTTAACACAAGTTTAACTTGTGTATTAAATTCAAATAAAGACATTGACTTATATATATTCTCTCGATTACATTCTTTTAAAATGCATGATAGAAATTTAACAATTCATTTTTATCTCGAGAATATGAAGTTAAAATTAGTGTCAATTACGAAATCTAAAATCTATTAGAAAATGTTTACTGCATATACATTTATCATGGGACACTTTTAAGTCCATTCCTCTTTCTCAAAGCATCACTAAGTATCTTGCAATCTTGAGTTGAACCTTCTCATCAACTAAAAATTTACATAAATTTAAAATCAAAGTTACAAGTTGATAATTCATTTTGTGATATCTTTACATAATTATTACAATAATTATTTACATTTTGTCCCTTCTCCATTGTTAAAATACATGTGTACTATAAATAATTATGATGCAATTCTAAAATTATTCATATATAATTTTTTAGTAAAAAGTTATAACTTCTCTTTCCACTGAATTGACCCTATAGAACTAAAACTATTCATATATAATATCTATATTAAAAGTACATATAATAATGACAAATATAATTTCAATTTTGTTAAAGATAATAACTAAATAATTATTAAGTCCCTTGAAGGAAGGATAAAACATTGTATTTTCTCTTGATCCTCATTAAGCCATCAAATCATATGCAATCAAATTCAAAGCCTTCAAAATGATGTAAAAATTTATAAAATTATTCTTAAAGTATGAAATATAACTTAAAGAATGAAACTTTTTATTTTAATTATATATACTTCACATATTAATTCTGCAAATAACCCAAAAAAATCTTAATTTTCGTTTAAATGGAGAATTTTAAATTTTGAAATTTAAATGGTTCTGATTTAATTATTCTTCATTTTATAACTATTTTAATTGAAATTTCTAAAATTTCAAATACTTAATTTACACTAGACAATTTAATGTTCACCATATGTGAAATTAGTTTTTTTAAAAACATATTTAAAATTTTGATATTTCAATATTAATTTTTCTCAAAATTAAATATCAATAAAATTTTAAATATTTAATAATTCAAAATTAACGATAAACAATATTAATAATTCAAAAAAAAAATATTAATAAATTTTGCATTGGTAGAGAAAAGAAATATACGAGAAATAATGAAGAGGAGAAAGGAAAACTTGGATACTTACAAATCCATGTTTAACTTTCAAGCGTAAATATAACCTTAATTATTAAAATAAAATCATCTTTATTTAATCCTTTCAATTATATAAAATGTTCTACTTTGTTTTTTAGCATTAGACTTGGAGAAAGATAATAAACATTATTTTGGAGAATAAATTGATATTTTTAATAACTAAATTAATTAAATATGTAAGCTCTTCTAAAATAAAAACCAAAGAGAATTTATAATCTTAAAAAAGTTTCATGGACAAAACTAATAAGACAAGTATATTTAGAAGATGTAGTTTAAATCATTAGGATCAACATAAATCTAACTTGATACCAAAGGATTACAATGCTTGCACAACCTCTTCAGTCTTCAACCAACTGAACTATATCCATTGGTATAATAAAAATAACAACAATAATAATAACATTATTATTATGTTTGGAATCATCGCTTAAAGGAATTTAGAGATTTAACACTATGCTTGGAAGCACAAAATATTATGTTCGAATCATTGAAACTTGGATAAGACCCAAGTACCTTAGGTTCCAACACATGTTTCTTCATATTTTCATATGTCATCCTCCATCAATTATTCAAAGGCAAGGGCCAAAAAAGCTGCCCAAAATAATATCTTAAAACTCCCTGCATATTAAGGTTGATTCAAACTTCAAAACATCAACAAAATGAGGGGAAAATGAACAAGAAGCTCGATTATGTTTAGCTATAATTTCAACACTACATGAATGTAATGGTTAAGATTCAATCAAATATTTGAAATTTCCCCTCTCCCAACACTTGATCTAAGCCAAAAAGGCCGAGAAAGATAGCCCTTTCTCCGCTCTTTGGTGACAAGTGCTCATCTATGATATTGACAAAATCTACCCACAAAAGAGATTCTATATCTTGGAATACTAAATCCATTCCCCTTATATCCTCCTTACCGAATATATAAACTATCAGGATCAGTATCGTTTACTTGGTTGCAGCAGTTAGTTGTGGCGACTGGTAACACTGTACCCTAAGATTAAGCATTGTTTCACAAACCATATAACAACAAAATAGAATCATAAATCTTCTCAAATTTTGTTTGCCTTCAAAGTTTAAACCTAAAGCAAAACAATTGTATTAAGTTTTCTAAATACATAATAGTAAATTAGTATTACCCTCTACTTCACTCCTCTCTCCCCCATCTACCAAATAAGGTGCATATCTTCCATTAAAGTTTCTGCTCTCTTCTCCAAACAAGCAAACAATGCATAAATACAGTCTTTAACTAAACAACAAGATGAGACTACTTGACTTAACAAATATTGCTGCAATGATGCTTACCAAAGTTATTAGTTACCCAAGAGTGGAACATCATATTAGAAACCAATAATTAAACACAAACTAGGTGCAAAACATAAGTTTAGATTTATTTTTGCTTCGCTCTTAACCACAAGAGCATAATTAAAAATGAGAGAAATTTGACTCACTAAGGCAGTTTCCCAGCTCGAAAGATGGCGAACTTGGAAGCGGTGGAGTAAGAATAATCAATTCCATTCTCCTTCAAGAAATCCTCGAGAAGCCGTTTAGCTCCTTCGGGATCAGCACTCTCACACTCGATCTCATAGAGCGTTCCAAAAGCAAACTTAGTCTCATCCACCTCCAATTTCAAACCCTTCCAATCATACACACTCCTCACATTCCCAAACCCTCCCAACCCCACAAACCCATTTTCAGGATCCACCACACCAAACTCCTCCTTCACCCTCCCCAAAACCCTAGATTCCACCGCCCCCAACTTCCCGGGCTCCGCCACGCAATCAAGCCCAACCCTAGGGTCCATATCCTCCTCGTCCTCCTCCACGCGGCTCACGCCGTCCACCAGCACCGCCTTGGCCTTCAGCGAAACCACGCAGCGCTCGTCGCCGTTGTAGAAGCGGAGGCGGAGCACCGCGCGCCGCGCGGAGAGCTCGGACGCCGCGCCGTCGAAGAAGAGGTTCTGCTGGCGGTGGGTGACGGCGTGGAAGGGGGAGAGCAGGGCGGTGAGGCGGCGGTGGGCGTCGGCGTCGGCGAGGCGGAGCTTCACTTCGACCTCCATCGGGGAAGAGAGGAGGGAGAGAGCGGCGAGGGCTCTAGGAGGAGAGGCCAATGCGATGCGCTTTGGAAGAGGGATCTTCGACGCGATCCAGCTGACGGAGGAGAGCGGCGGTGCCAGGGGCGGCGTTGGGGGTGGCGGTGGCGGCGGCGTGGCGTCGGCGAGCTTCCTCGAGTTCTTCTTTATCTTCGATCTTGACTTGGATTTTGGTTGGCTTCCTTCTCAGCATTTTGTATTGTGGCTCTGATGCTTATTCCTCTTTCCATGCCGATTTTAATTAATTTTGCCCTACAATCTCTCTTTCACTAACGGGTCGGGTTCACCTGATCTACCATTTTTTATTAATCCAAACTCTCATTTCTATTCATTATTATTATTGATTAATTAATTAATTAATAATAATAATAATAAAGTTACACATATAGTAAGATGAAACAGTAAAATAATTTTCCATCTTTGAATTTGTGATATTCCTTAAACCTAAATAAGTTTGTATGTAAAAGAATAATTGGTTATTAGAATATGAAGAGATGTTGTATTAAAAAAATACTTTGATAGTTGCATGAAGATGCAAGTTAAGAAACGTTTAGGTTGAGCAAAAAGTGACTTATGAAATAATATTTGTATATTTGTAAAAGATATTGAAACTTAATCAAATTGACTAAGATCTAGACATAGTCTCGATGATTAAATCAAACTAATATAAAAATATTGTGTTCTTTTTGCTTACACTTTCCATTTGTACTCATAAGATTTTATGATACTACTTTACTATTTCAAAAAAGTGTTGAGTTTTTCTTTTATTAACATTGTTCAATCCCTTTCTATTATCTTTCTTTCCTACATACACGTCCAACCTCCTTGTCCTAAGCAAGCGAACAACCATCTATTTGGACTATGTGTCCAAGGAAATGCTCATGAGCCATTCAAGACCAATGAGTTCATATCTTATTTTCTAGTTACACTCCACTAAAATACTAATTATAAGAAAAAAATTCTTACAATAATTGACCCAAAGCTTAAAGAGAAAGTAAGTTACTAAAAGTAATCCAAAGCTCAATGAGAGCTTGGGCTTTCTTCCTTTAAGCTTGGTCCACTTATCTTGATCCTTTAGGATTTTACCCTTTGGCATGATGTTATCATCCCTAGTGAGATTGAGTAGCCGGGTAGAGACTCAAAGCCTTTAGAGTTAAGAATCAGAGACTCAAAGCCTTTGGAGCTAAGAATCAGAGACTCAAAGCCTTTGGAGCTAAGAATCAGAGACTCAAAGTCGTCGTTTGAAGTTCTCAGAGGATTTCGTTCTTCCTTCCACCTCCTTTTTAGACAATTTGAGATAAGGAAAGTTTGTTGACTAAAAGTTGTTGAATTATAACTGTTGTTTTGTTACCTGGAATCATAACTTGTAGTTTAGATTATATGAATTCATGAGATGATGATGTTGTTGAAAGAGTTGTTTTTGAAAATGTCTTTGGAAGACTTGGTGATTTTGAGTTTCGATGGTTGCATATTGTAGTTTTCACTTGAATTGAGTCCTAAATGTTTCCTGTATGTTGAATTGCATGTTGAATTTGTTGAATTACTTGCAGTTTTTAAGTCAAATTGGTGATTTTGCTATGGGCAAAAATCACCATTGTGTTAGGCGTGCATTCATGGTGTCAGGTGTGGCTTAAGTTAGGGATTATCTGCCCTAACGACATCAAGCGTAGGATTGATAGCGTCAAACACAGGTCAATGAAAAGCTTTCTAACTTGGTCACATTAGACGTGAAAATGACAGTCGTCGGCCCAAGTTGAGGCATATTATATATATATATATATATATATATATATATATAAGTGATCAATCTGAGTAAAGTATGAGGTTAAGGGCTAAAGTTCCTAACTAAGTACTAAAAATGACATAGTATTTAAAGAGTAATTAATACTAGACTTTTATAGTTTAAGTGTTAAAATCAGAGAAATCATGTTGTTGTGAATTTTTATACAAATTGGTTGTTGATTTAACAGGTGTAGAAAGATCGCGTTGTTGTTGGTTCAATAGGGTCAAACTACTTAGACTATTCACTTATGTTATAAGTGATCTCTTAGTTGAATATGTGACGACGCGTGTAGTTGATTTGTTATGCATATTTGAGCTGTTGAGTTGTGTGATACATATGTTATGTTGTTATGTGGATAAGTTGCCATGTTGTGTTGTTGTTCATATTGAATGATGTGTTGTGCTATTCATATACCATGTTAACAAGTGACGTTATATTATAATGTTGAATGTTGAGAATTGATTATGTGGTTCAGTCGAGTTGTTTATGTTGGTAGTATAATTACATTTTACTTCTATACTTACTATGTTAATTTCTTTTGAATACTAGCTTATCATTGCATCTTTCCTTATGGTTGGACTACAATGATTGTAATTATATGAGAATAGGTAAGGATAAACTGAAAAAAAAGATTGAGTTGAGAGCCATGTTGGATTGGCGGTGTAATTTGGCGCAATCTTTTGTGATTGTTTTGTAGTATTGTTTGATCAATAACCTAGGTTTATCCTTCTATTTTTTGGATTACTATATATGTGTATATGTACAAGATATGTGTAGTTCCATTGAGAATAATTATATATATATATATTTTTTTTTATATTTCTATACATATATTATTGCATGTATTTTTATAAATTGTCTGTATGTTAATCTTAGATAATTGAAATTTTAAATTTTCACTGTAAATAACTAAGTTGTAAAGTATGGTGACTTAACATATGGTCGCTAATCTCAAAATCCCTCATAATGCATATGATTTATGAAGGGGTATAAGGAAAACTTGGCATAAGATGGCATAAGATGACAGAGGGACGTCATTGGGTGTTAGGAAATGGAAGTAAGGTTGGTTTTTGGTGGGATTGTTGGCTTTCTTCCGGAATCATCATTTGACAACATGTTGATGATCAAACCACAGTTGTCAACAACAATTTGAAGTGGAGAACTATGTATCTAAGAATGGGGAATGGCTGGTAAATTTGTTCCAGGACTTGATTCCTCAGCGGTTGGTCATAGAGATAGTGAGTATGTTTCCACCAAATGGTGAGTTGGGGGAAGGCAATGTTATTTGGAAAATGACATCTAATGGAAACTCCTCTACTAAATCAGCCTATGAGCTTCTGAAGGGAGTTAACCATGAGCCAAACAAAACTGGGTTATGATTTGGAAATTCCATGCTCACCCGAGAGAAGAATTTTATTTGGAAAATTTTTAAAGAGTGGTTTGATCACCAATGTGTTTAGAATTGAGAGGGGCATGGCTGAATCTGGAGTGTATCAATTGTGTAACCAGCAGCTTGAAACTCAACAACATATTCTTAGAAATTGTTCAATAGTGATGAAAAAGGTTTGGTGTTGTATTAAGCCAAATTTGTCCCGTCAGTTTTTCAGTAGTGGGCTTGTAAAGTGGATTGCTAATAATATTGTTTAGGATCCACAAATGTTATTATAACAGAAGTTTGGAGGATTGCATCGACTCACAATTAGCTATTAAGTTTATAATTGAAGAGGCGAGCCACCGTGTCTAAAAAATTTGACACCTAACACAAATTTTTGAGTCACTCTCTATTATAATTTATCATATTTATTTTCTTATTCTAACTTTTCTGTTATTTAAGATTTAACAACCAAATAATTTTAACATCCAGTTTAATAAAAATTTATTCAATGTAATATAATTTATCTCAATTGAATATATAAAAAAAATATTTCGAAAACTTTTTTTTTTTTACAACAACAATAATTATAGATGTATTTAATACTATTTTATAAAATGCTTTTAAAAAGAACCATTTTTATATAGTTTAATACTTCTAACAAAATCTTAATTTCTTTTTTCTAATGTTTCTTTTATTATTTTTAATTAAAAAAAGTTAATGCCATTAATATAATTAATGCTAACTAAAACTTAAATTTATTTCATAATTAATATGAAACGTAGTGAGTAGATTACAGAGTTTAGTTGACTATAGGGAGAAAAGTATATAAGGGTTTGTCTGAGAAGGAGACTTCATAAGTTCATTCTCAAATAAACTTAGAGAGAAGTTTTAGAGATAAGGACTTTGGGTCCGTGAGCTCATTTCTCTATCAAATTTCTCTATCTGATTCCTCTTTTCTTCTAGATTGCTAATCTCTTCTATCTTCTCTTGGAATTCAGGCTAGGAAACTTGTTTTTGGAGGATTGAAGTTCACAAGTCAAGTTTCGGAAAGAAATTCTTTTTTTTCTTAATTCTTGGCTATCTTGAGCCAATCTTCAGGTGAAGGAAACTATAATGTATGTTGTTTGGATGCATGTGAGTTTAGGAACTCAATTGGTGCATGAATTATAAGAATCCACGGTTGGATTGGAGAAATTGCTCATTTTTTGGGGTTTTGGAAAAAATGGGGTTTTTAGTAATTTTGATGCATCGTATGGGTGCATGTTGAATCTGAGTTTGTTCTCGAGTTTTATGGAGCCCATGCATTGTATTTCTTGGTTTGCATGTGGTTGGGTTTTTTGATTTTCAAGTGTTGGAGGAAATTTTCGAAGTTTTGGGGCTGTTGTTTGAATTTGCGCTAGGCGCAGTTCTTGGCGCTGGGCGTGAATTCATCAGAGGTCACCATTTCAAACTCACGTTGGATGCAAGGTTAGTCGCGCCGGGCGTGAATTGAGATGGAAGTCTATGGATGAGTCACGTCGGGCGTGAGAAGAACCACGCCGGGCGTGATATCAGATAAATGCCCTGTATGTTCATGTACTGATGTGGTGCCAGGTGCAGAGTGGGCGTGTCGGGCGTAGAGACCCTTTGGAGGTCTCTGTCTAAGTTGACATCGGGCGCAGGTTGGGTGCACTAGGCGTGGAGACTCCTGTGAGTCTCTATTTGGATGACGCCGAGCGCGAGCTGAACGCGCCGGGCATGGGAGAGCTTAGAGCTCTCGGGTTGAATGTTAGGCCGAGCGTGATTTGGTTTCGCCGGGCGTGAGTGGGTTTGATGTTGTCGGATTGAAAATGATGCTTATGCATATTTAAAGTTGAAGTTTTTATCATGTATGTATGATATATGATGTATGGTGGTGTATGATTCATATGTATGCTTGGTAGTGATATGTATGAATGTTTAAATATGAGATGACAGGTGTATATGTTCATATGAGGATGATATTGATCATGATGGTGGATAGACCATGTATGATGTATGATGCATTATTGCATGTGATGACTTATGGCATGTGTCTAGCTTAGGACTTGAGGAGAAGAAAATATTTTTGAACTGGAAAAGCTCATATAGAGTCTTTTGAGAGTGGTGCTTGGATAGGCTACTGATATAAATTAGAGTGGTGCTTAGATAGGCCACTGATTTTGGGTGAGAGTGGTGCTCAGGTAGGCCATTGGTTTGGGTGAGTCTCCTCTAAGTCCTTATCTAGTGTTGGAGTGAGGTATGAGGTCGAGGGTTATTCCCTTAACCAAGTACTAGGGAAGGTGCGTGGTTTCTTGTGGATAGTTGGTGGACGAACTCCACAAGTGACTTGGTAATGCATGTCAAGGTCTTGGTAAGCTTGTATCCAGTTGTGTTATACTTGACGATGGAATCGGACTTCCAAGGGTGTAAGTGATGTCATCCGAATAAACCCGAGTGAGGATTTATACCCTGTTTAGCTGTGACCAAGCGGGCGCATTGAACGTGAAAACGGTTGGAGTAGTTTCGGTAGGATTGGGATGTCACTTACACTACTTTACTGTTAGGGAGATCTCCTAGGTGAATGTCTGACGACGCATTAGATGATTGATATGCATTGATATCTGTCATGATGTTGCTATTATTGCATGAATTCTGTTATGATGAAGTGTATGGTATTTGAATTCATGATTGTTGAGTTGCATTTTATGCATGAATAATATTGGATAGAGTGTGTGGTGTGACTCTATGAGTATGATTGGTAACTTGATAGTGAGTAGTATAGATTTTATTCTGTACTTGTATGGTTTCTTTTTGAACTCTAGCTTACCCTTCGGTTTCCATGTGGTTGGATTGCGATGATCATACTTTGTATGGGAGCAGGTTAAGGCTGACTTGGAATTGAGGTGATCGCTGCAAGATGAGGAGTTTTGTCCTGGTGTCAGAGTTACCTTCTTGGGTAACTGTTGTTTGTACTTGACCGGCACTAGGAGATTATTATTTTGGGATGACTGTACATATATGATGTTATATTTTGTACATAAAAACTTAGTTGTTATTATTCTTAAATATATATATATGCTTGTATGTATGAGTTATCCAATTTTAATATTTATCTTAGTTCACTAGTAGTAGTGCGATTTTACTAAGTGTAGGGACCATAACGGGTCATTACATAATGTGTTTTTTTCTTCAACTAATTTGCTTTCTAAATTTTTATTTATTGGGATTCATGTAAAAGAATTGAAATTGATTTCATATTTTAATATTTATTTAAATAAACCACGGATATAAAAAAAATGATTTAATATAAGCATAAAATAACAAAAAAAAATTATCTTCATCATAACCAAAATAATAATCTTTAAAAATATGTGATTTCATCAGTATCACTTTTTAATTTTTTTTACAGGTCATACTTTTTTTATAAAATTTAATTCATCAATTTATTTCATTTTAAAGTTTTTTTTTTGTTTTAATTCAAAGAAATTATAAAGTAATTTTTCCATAATTTTTTTAAATCAATGACAAACTTTTAATTCATTTATAATAATATGTGCATATACATATTTTTAAATTGTACAATCTAACTAATACATTAATTAAAAATAATATAATAAAATATATATTCTAATAATATAAGTGAAAATATTTTTGATAATATATATATATATAAATAAATAAATAAATAAAAGGTTGATGTGGGATAGGTTTAAGGCAGTTTTCTCATTCGCCTTGTCACTGTCACAACCATGGTGAATCACTGCCACCCTTATTAATCTATAGTTCAGTTTATTAGAAATTTAGTGAGTTGAAAGTGAGATGTTCATTTTGGTGCACATTATAAGGAAGTTAATATGGTGGGAGACACTTGACATCCTCTATGCATTCATATAGTATATTCATATTTTAAAAGCTCCTCTAAAGAGTTGTCTTCCTTTTCAAATAAGAGATGTAACGGATCTCCATATAGCCAATAGTATTCTCGGATAATTCTTTAAACTTTGTCCTCTTTCATAAGAAAAATTAAATGTGCAGAAGGAATTTAATTTAATTTATAACGTGTTTAAGAGACTGTTTATACATTTAATTCTAGATGCTATTTATTTCATAAAATTGATTATGAAATAATTAAATTGCTATTTGTACGTAACATTTAATTGAAGTTGTTAACATTAATATCATAAAATTGTACGTAACACACTGTAAGCAGAATTACCTTTGGTCTTTAATTTTATTAAATAAAAATTAAATTATTATAATGTAAGTATAAAAAAAAGAATTAAACTGAATTTGTGATAGGAAAATAGTATTTACAATTTTTCATATGGACACGTTTCGGTGTGTGTTTGATTTTGATTTTTAAAAGTAAGTTTTTTTTTTCTTATGTCGAATTGTGAATTTAAAGAAAAATTACTATTTTTTAGTTATAATTAAACGTGAAAAATCACGTTTAACACACGCTTAATGTATGTTTGTTTCAACTTTTAAGCGTGAAAATTCACGTTTATAAGAAATAATAAATTAAAATTTTTACGTAAATGTACTTATAGACGTAAAGAGAAAAAGAAAAATTACGTTTACAAATTAAAACTAAACACTTACTTAATGAATCACGTTTCCTGAAGGATGATGAGGTGGAAAGTAATAATGCGCCTTGGCGACATCAATTTGAATCCCAAAACCCTAACGGGATCAAGTCCAGTTTCCCGCACACACAGTTGTTGTCTCCTCTCTCTTGCGGTGTGGCAGAGAAAATGGAGGTTTCAAGTCTCTGCTTCGAGAAAAACGCAATGCTGTTTGCCTCTGTTGTGGAGGCTGTGCTGCTTCACACTCTCCTCGCCACTGCCAAATCTCTTGCTTGCCTTCTCCTCACGGTAAAGAATCCCCTTTCTGTTTCATTACCGCACATTCACATGTATTTTTCTTTTGTTGTGTCTTTTAGTTTTTACGCTCGTTCTGTTTATCGTTTTCTTCCTAAGTTTTAGTTTAAGTCGTTTACTAAACTGTTCCTTATAATAACTGTAGCGGTGAAGTTGCCTCTTGCACGAATACCGCCTGTGTGTGTTTCTTACTGTGCCTTTTTGCTTGTCGAATTCACAACTGTGAGTCACTATATCGGAAGATGAGAGTGGTGCTCAGGTA